TGATAGTGCCTCATGCTGCACGAGGGACTGGAGGTAACAGTGCCACCGAGGCTTACATCAGCACCTTCTGACATTAAAGAACTCTCTGGATCTAGATGGGATCCCTCAGCGCCCTTCCCTGCTCCCCTTCATCCCCACGCTGGCCCATGGATTCTCTCCCTGGAGCAAACCCATGTCTTTCCTCTTTTACACAGCATAATTAGGGCGCCTCATCACCAGCACTTGTTGCACCACTTCTTCCCTTTGCTTCTTTCCTTTGAGCAGCTGCTGCAGCAAGTAATCAAGCGCTTGGCATTGCTCTGTGATCACTTCCTGCAACAGAAAGACTCTGGCATCCACATCTCCAGACCATATCAAGGAATCACTCTGCCCTGATTTCAGACAAATAACTTACTGTTCCCATAATGGTCACAGCACATTTGAAAGCCCTGTGCTCACCAGGCCCTCAGCACAGCTAAGCACACAGCCTGAACCTTCTCCTAACCTAAGCTGCGCCCATTTCTTTTGGTCCTGCACTGTCCATAATCTGATGGTATCAACCCTCAGCACACCCCAGGCAGCCCCAGACCATGCTGGCCTGCAGCAACTCTTTATCAGAATTCACCAGACGTGTTCATGGTCCCCCTCTTCATTTGCAAGAAACCCCCCCCCCACAACTAGCACTAGCAGCCTGTAGGTATGCAGGACAGGTAAGGTAGCAAAGCTACGAGGGTATCCTGTAGGTAGGTGCCCTTCTGACTAAAAACAAACCACCTGCAAACTGCAAGGAGCAAAAGAAGCAAGCGGAGCTTCTGCAATCCGCGAGCAGAGGGCAGCCCAAAGCCCTACCTACCTGCAGCGCCTCTGCGTCCTGTTCTTGCCTCCTTCACTCCCGCTGCGTCGGCCTCAGCAATTCTGTTTCTATTAACTTAATCTAAACAGAAGATGAAACCTTTTTTACTAACATTTGAAATGACTTTAATTTACACTCTTTTAAAATGAGCTCTAACGGCTGCCTTCAGAGAGATGGCACTGCAGAGTTGCCCAGAAGTTTAAGGAACCTGCTAGTGCCCTTCAATCCATCTGTGACACATACTCCAGGGCACACACTCTAGGGACACATACTCTTCGTCTCTTGCCAGAGGAGCTGTGTCCCCTGCTACTTGCCTCTCTTCTCTAAACTCTTTCTGTCCAAGTTTAGAAGCAGTTTGCAATCAATTCATTCTGCCAAATCATGCAGCCACTCTGGAAAGCAGCGACTGACTGTCAAATCCCTGTCAGCAACAACACTTGGACTGCAGATTAACTGGGGGCCGGGCCCTGGCTTCCAGATGCGCCAGCAAATCCCATAATGATACCTACTCTTTCAGTGGGGGCAGCTGAGATGGAGAGAGGTGAATGGAGTTGCCCAAGATCCCACAGCAAAGCCAAGAAGAAAGCCCAGCTCACCTACCTGCCAGGCTATCCACTATCCATAGCCCACAGTGCTTAATCTGTGCCACCCATCCCGAAATCCCTGCTGACCCTGGGGCTCTGCAGCAGGCAGTGCCCAGTGCGCCCTCCTTTTTGCTGTCTGTGTGGGATGTTGGTGGGATGGGCTGGTCAAAGGGTCCGGCCATGGGATCAAGGAACAAACTCGCTTTGTTTACAGAGCAAGTGCAAGCACGCTGCAGGGCTGTTATTGCTGATGAGCTCAAGTAATAGAGCGCTGTTAAGACTCATCTCCCGGATGGTCCATGCACACTCCACAGGCTTCTAGCACAATGCAGAGGCTGTCATTGGGTGACCGAATATATCAAAGCTCTTCAGCTTCTCCACCACTTCCTGACCTGAGATCTTTCTCCTAGTGTCAGATCAAGAGGAGAATGACGCTGAGCGCTGTGTCAGAAATCAACTGCTTACCTCTGAGCATCAGCTGCTGCTGCTTTCCCCACTAGCCCAGTTTCATTCTTTTCCTTCCTGCCCTGCTATTGCATTTCACCTTCTGCAGAATGGAGCTCAGAAAGGACGGCTAAGAATGGGAAAGAAAAGGTGAACTTACGACTCAAGGTGAAGTCCCAGTGTGCTAGATGGAGATGCAGCGGACTTGTGTGGAACCGGCAGCCCTGCTATGTACACAACCCGAAGGAAATAGCAATTGCAATTGTAGACTATCCCTACAGGGCCAATGCACATCTGTCCTCCCGTGACCATCCTCCAGTACTTTGGCCATATTAGCATTTAGATGATTGAAGCAATTGCAATTCCACCACTTCCCTGAATCTGAAAAGCTGCGTTGACGCTCCTTTCTCCAGAAATGGGAAGCCAGAGTTCAATTTAAGCAGCAGTGCCTAATGCTTTGTTACAGAGCTCTTGACAATACAACGGCTCTTCATTTCCCTCAAACCCTACTCTATGTTCACGGTACTTTCATCTTCCTCAGAAGGATCTCATCAAATGGTGGTAGGAGCTCTTTCCTCTGTTGCTGACTCACCTGGTTCCTGATCTGCCTGTGCATAAGATCTTTCTCTGCTTGCAGAACTTCAAAGACAGCTTTCTGCATCACACTGTAAGGGAGAGACAACATCCTGCTTAGTGAGGGCTGTTCCTGCAGCTATAAATAGACTAACAATCTCTGCTACATTGCAGTGACTCAGGTACAAGCATCTGAACAGCGCTTAATTTGTCAAATGGAGTGTCCCATTCACACCACGGCTTACATCTCACACACCCAAAAGATAAAACTCTACAGGCAGACACAGAAGTTAAAGTCGTATTCTTCGAACGCACATTTGGAGTGCTGTATTTGAACCTGATCTCTCATTCTCAGCAGCACTGAGCTCTCAGACTATTAGGTCTGTGCAATAGGGCACGGGCGCCTAGTGCTTCTGAAAGCTGAGCCACAGACGTCTCGGATACAAAATGAAGCATTCAAAAGGAGCAGCTGCTTTAAAAAGGCTTCCTGTGGACAGCTTGTCTCAAGTCACCCAAAACACCTGCCAAAAAGCTAAGACTTCTGTCTCAAAAATTCTCTGTATCCATCATCAGACCAGCTTTGCTACTCGTGGTCTGTGCTGCCGTCCTTTACGAAAATGTGCTGTCTGGTTAAAGAATGAAACATATTTTTCTTTCAACCACCTAAGTCAACGTGCCAAAATATCAGAGATTCTTAAAGCCTTGCAAATACTTCCGCAAGGTTACACAACGTTTTTAGTGCAGCTGGGCCCTGCCACCATCACTCCGGTGCGTGCCCCTGGCCCAGCCGCTCTCAAGCCTTTCACGTGCTGCTGCTTTCCCTCGGTCCCCTCCTGCATGCAGCTTGCTCCCTTGCTTACTTCCCGCAAGATCTGACTAACGGCCTTGCTCTGATCCAGCTGCTGCCAAGCCAGGATTTGCTGGAACTTCTGATCCTTCTCAGCTAGGCTGCAAGAAGACATAGTTGCCAGGGAGCTCTGCGATCTTAACACAAACGAGAGAAAAAGGGGGTAACGGGGAACCCAGGAATGGAGGAATCTGCTGCCGAACAAGGGCGAACAGCCCTGACGCACGTCCCAAGGCACAGCTGAAGGCTGGCAGATATGAAACCTCCTTCCCTAGCCCGAGCCCAACCTGCCTCACAGACTAAGCCTGAGCAGACGCACAGCTGCCTGCACGCGCGCAGCTCCAAGTCCCAGCTGGGGCTGTCCCCAAAAGCTGCCCAGGTGATGACTTTGCAAGTCAAGTGTTCTGCATAGGAAAGGGCGCGCTGACGAAGGAGACCCAGACAAGGCGGATTAGACTGCCTGCACTTGCGGGCAGGGTCGTGCCTGCTCGCTGCCCTCTGTTGGGCAGGCCGCCGGCAGACAAGCTTGCTTTTATTCTGTCACCAGATGCTGCCAGACGAAATTTTCTCACTTTCTTTATGACACCGTTTGATTCCATCTGACGTTTCTCTACTGGTAGGGACGCTTTCTCCTTAGTTTCCTGGAGCGAAGTGCCCCAGCTGGCAGGTATCAGTGGACGCAAGGCCTCATAGCTCTGCAAATCACAAACTCCTCCAGCTCTGTTTTTTTCAAATTCTAGATGTGCTTCCTCACAGGTCCTGCAAGAACCATCACCCATCAGGACAGCCGTTTTTTAAGAAATAGAAGTGCATGACATGGGCCTCACGAAAGTCACGCTGTTCGTATAAAACAAGGTGACTGATTACTGGGTTTCTACCCTGGACCTATCCCCTCAAACAAGCAACGGCCCCTGCAGCCTGCCTTCTCAGTCCTGTGCAAACTCAGGACAAGCGCTAAGTTAGTTTTGAAGTAGACGCGGAAAAAAGGAATTTCACTACGCCTCTGAGGTACGCACATCTTCCCTTTTAGCTCCGTTAGATCTAACACATCAATCATGCTCTAAAGTGCAGTTTTACTCTAAAAGGTGACTTTGTGTAAATGGCCCTGGAAGTTCTCAGCTTTCTTGTCTCAGAGGAACACGATTTGGTTCTGAAGAAAAGGGAGCCCCAACCTGCCCTGTGACTTGTTCAGCAGAACTATTCAAAATGCCACACTGAAGAGCAACAAAGAGCAAGCTCTGACCGCCCCCGAGAGAATCTGGGCCATTCTGCAGCGTAAGCCTTCTCTTCTCCTCAAAAAGTGTTTAAACATGCAATGGAAACAGAAACGTTATCCTTGAGACAACCCTGGGAGAAGAGGAAAGCAGTTTTGTGCTACTGCTGGACACCAAGCTGGCCGACACAACAGGAATAAGACCAGTCTAATTTCATCCTCCATATTTAGCAGAATGTATAAAGTAAAATAAAATAAACAGTATAGAAAGTGTTAGTTAATTCAAAGTATGATTAACGCGCATATTCTTGTGGTTAGGAGGATGGTCCACGTAAGCAAGTTTGACAGTTTTCCTAAATTGTATTGTTGCTTACAGAGCTGTCCTACTCCACCCCAATGGCTGCAAGACTTCCCGAGTATACACATGGGAATTATGCTGGGGGCTGTTGGGAAGAAAGGGACTTTATAACAGTATCCACCGGTCCCACAGCTCTCCCGCTGCACCTGCAGCAGGCTTGGCTGACGACGTCTTGCTGACGAGACTCTTAGGTCATTTGGATGAGCTTATTCTTGTAACTCTCGGCCAGCATTTGCTCTAGGGCAGCTAGGAGACGTCAGTCTGTGTCGGGGCTGCTGTCTAGAACAGGTCCTAATCTACCACTGCTGCTACAAGCACTCGCATGTCACAGTGCCTGCCCTCTCTCATTTCCAGCCTGTCCTTGCTTTTTCCATGTCAGTCATCCCTTTAAGAGAACAAGCAGTCAGCCACAAGAATCATGGCCATTTATTGGGAAATCAGACGCGCAAACTCCAGCCTGCCTGTGCTTGCACCTCTTCAGCTCTCAGAGGAGCTGAGTCACTGCCTACTGACCCCAGACGGGCTGCAGGTCTGCCCATCCCTGCGGTGAGCAATCCATCCCTTGAGGCGAGAGCGCACATACCGTTTCCCTTCTAACCCCAGCAAATCTGATCATAATTGTAATGAGCAGAAACGGCTCCCTTGCTCCATCCTGATTTAGCTCCTGCTGGGCCTCCAGCCTCATGAACCTGATCAGTTAACATCTGTTTGGTGCCTGTAATATATAAACGCCCTTTGTGGGCACACAGGACGGAGCATCTTCTTCCGTCTCGCAGATTCCCTGTGAGACATGCTCTAGTTTTGGCAGGGAGTATAACTCTTATCTCCAGGGGAGTCAGCAGTGAGTTGCAGGTGAAAGCAGTGGATCAGCTATGGTACATACGCACTGGTTCCCTACCCAGCTCCCCGCTACTGCACCAAGCAACGGACAGCAAGAACGTGTGCATAGCTGAGAGCATCGCTCATGGGACTATCACTTACTCCGTGCACTTCCAGAGGAACCAGGTCTTTCTAGTGTGCTGCCACCCCAAAGGGTTGTCCGGACTTACAGGCCACTTCTCTTTTGTGTAGATGCTCTGCCTCCTCCTGTGTTATTGCCATCAGCTGCTTCATCCTTATTCTAGCAAACAACCAAGACCACTCCTTCAAACAAGCAGCATCTCACCTGCATAAGCCAACACTACTCCTGTGTCCCCCTGACATACGGTGGATTCAGACCGGTGGCTCTGAAAGGAAGGTCTAAACCCTCTTCCCAGCTCCTTGCCTTCTCCTCAAAATGCTCATCTCAGGGAGACTCACCTCTTATTCTCCAAGGATTTCAGAATGACCGAACTTTGTTTCTGCCTAAAAAAAGAAAAAAAAAGATAAGATGGGGTTTTCATCAAGCTGAGCAGGACACCCTACTCCTCCAGAGGGCAGAAAATGACCCTACTCCTCACACACAGAAGAGCAGCCTGGTAACCTTGTGCTGGCGATTCAGCAGATCTAGATCAGTGGTATGTGAGAGGCAGTGTTGAAATGTGTACCTTCCATGAGGAATTCAGGTTTTTTTCCACAGCACTGCAAAATTCCAACAGCACAGCTATGTGTGAAACGCAGATTTTTTTTTTTTTAAGGTGCCAAATTCCATTTCCTTTAAATGAGATTTTGGCAGTTCAACAACTCATGCACCATCTACAGACATCGCTTCTGCCCTGCTACAAACATCAGCTGGGAACATGACATTTTCATCTGCAAAGCTGTGAGTGCAGCCCCCGACAGGGATTAACTACACTGGACTAAGCAGTGCAGTTAATCTGTCTGAGAGGGTAAGAAACAGCTGTGACCAGAGCAAGGACAGGAGAGAGGTCCGTACAACTATTGTCCAGTGTGGGCTTGCCCTGAGTAAAGGCAACAGCTAAGGGCACAACAAGAATAAAGTATCAAAAAACTCCAGTTATTTGTGCTTCGCCAGGGGCAGAGAAAATTCCTCTGCAGCTGCCAAACAGCAGGAAAATTAACATAGCTTATCATAATTACAGGCCTAGTCTCACCATTCCCTGGTAGGGCTGGAAATGTCTAACACCTGGGTCAGAATCACAAGGCTCTTCTACAGGTTGCTGTCCCTCAAGCAATTGTTATGAACACACACGTACTACCACGCTGCACGCACCGCATCACATTGTCATTCCTGTCCCTTGGCTGCATTATTGTTTTCAAGACAATGACTAAAACTAACATAGCTCAGAAAAGTACTAGAAGAAATATGCAGAATCACGGAAAGCCTTAGGTCAGACAAGAGCCCTGGAGGTCTCTAGTCCAACCTGCTGCTCTCACAGCAGGACTACTTTCAAAGTCGGATCACGTTGCTCCAGGCCTTGTCCTGCCAAGTTATGAAAACGTCTAAGGCTGGAGAGCTCTCTTTGCAACTTGCCTTCCTGGGGCTGGAAGTGGTAACACCGCCTCCAGCTGTCTGGGGAAGAGAGGAGCCACCCATAACCACAGTGTTATGCTTGGTTCTCGTACTGGTGCACTCTCAGTCCCAAATGACGCATCTCATAGGGTGGAAGACCACGAGGGATGATGTGCCACGTGCTGTGAGACCTACTGATGGAGCTGAGACACAAATGCAAAGCCCTTTCACATAAGTTCTTACGCAGCAGAGCCTCACCTGCCACTTACTCTCCTCCTCCAAGTATTTATGCGCTGTCCTATCTGCCTCATCCACTGATGTTCCTCCTCGAGCACTCTCCAGCATGAGGAGCACATACTGCAGGGGAGGGTAGTACACAATTCCACAGTACGAAAAATATCAGACAAAACAAGACATTTGGTGCTTAAAGACCTCCATGGCAGCATGACTGAGGGCTGGTCTATGTGTGAGACCGTTTTTAACAGTGCTCCCTCTCCACAAGCACAGATGAGTGCCTGAAACAGTTCTCTGAGCTCAGGTGGACCTAGCAAAGAGAAGCTGTGAGAGGAGATAGTGCCACCTCAGTCCCACCAGGAAGGTGATTAAAGCACGGCTTGGAGGAAGGGGTGGAGAAGGGAAGCACAGAAGCCATGAGTGCTGTTCTCACTTTTGCAGACAATCACACGGCAGCACCCCCTCCAGAAACACCCCCTCCAGAAACAGACTGAGCACTCAGAGTTGGGCTGACCTCTGCTAAACTGCTCGGAGAGAAATGCTCCCTTTGCGCTGATCCAGGCAGGTTAGGTCCAGTGGGGCTGTAAAGGAGAGTTTTCTGCATGTAGTAAAACAAGCTCTGACTGTTATTACAGGGATTAGTGCAACGTCTGACAAGGCACTTCCCCTGCATAAAGTCTCTCCAGACCTTCCTGTCTGTATTAAACGCAATGTTAACAAACTCACCGCACATTATCTTTGTCCTATGAATTTTCAGTCAAGTTTCACCTTTCTTTTAGTAACCTATCAGTCTATAGGCCCCAAGCCCTTCCTCACAGAAGATGAGGGTAGAAGGGACCTTAAGGAGTTGCTGAATCCATCTCTTTGTCAGACAGACTCTTCTTGCCTTTCTTTACAGAAGAACTGCTGGATGGACTCTGTACTTGCACTGCAAATGTCAGGTGATGGGTAGTTCATGGAAGAAGCATCCAGAGTCAGCATCTCCAAAACAGAACACAGAAAGCTTCAGGTTATTCTGGCAGCCCAGCCAGAGTCCAACTGCTTCAAGGCTAGGGACCCAGGAAAATGAGATGCAACATTTAACTTGTACCCCGTAAAAACTAAATCACAGAATGTCTTTCCCTTAGCATGTTAACTCAGTTCTGGTGCTTCCCTCTGCAAATGCTTTAGGACTTCACAAATAAACTGGAGCAGTGCATTTTTTAAGTAATCTGTCATTAAATAAGTCATTCTTTATTTAAATCATCTTGTTATTTAAGTCATCTGAACCTGGTTGAATTCCTACAGTCATAAAAAGGAAAGAGAATTCTGCCAAATCACCTTTTCTGGTGGTAGCAGGACCACTTGGTCTTGCAGCTCCTGAAAAATTTCACTTACAGAGTGATAACTGTATGTTATCCTAAACACCGACACAAACATGAGGCTGTATGGAATTTCTGCTGGGTGTCTGCCACCTTTCAGAGGTGGAGCGATTCCAACGGCCCTTATGTGGGAACTTCTGTGCTGCTTCTTCAGTGGAACACCTCCTCGTGCAGAGATGCTTATTTCATGTTTAAGCACAAAAGGGCATGGCAATTCTCAGTTACAGGCGCTTTCTGCTAAATTTCTGTGTGCTGGGTCCCTCAAGCGTGATGCATGCAAGGAGGGCACGGAGAGAAGAACCAGTAAGAACTGGTAAGAACCAGTGGAAGGACCACCTTCTCTTTTGCCCTACTGTGGCCACCAAAAGGACCTAATGTTGTCTCCTGTAGAGAGGCAGTTAGCGGGAAGGCCTCAAAAGGAGACCACTTCTACTGAACACAGGGGAGCAAGCTGCAAAGGTTCCTTGTCCCAAAGATTGCCTGCAAGAGAAGTGAAGCCTGATGTTATGTGTTCAAGACATGACAGCGTTTATTCACATCCTGAATGCTGGGGTCTGAGTCAGCCCTGCTCCCTGAGATTTGCATAGCTTAGTACTGACAAGTTGGGCAGCTACTAGGTAACACATCCATAAAAATCTTGATCCTTCTCTCTTTTTGAATATGCACTCCAGGGAGCCAGAAATCTATGGAAGCTGGCAATGAGTCACAGCTCAGTCATGGCAATGGAGGCAGAAACCTCAACGGAAACATTTAACCTGCTCATTTACAACAGTCTAGGTGGAAAGGACTGAGTCAGTCCGGGCTGACAGTCACAATTTGTGCTCTCGGAGGCAGCCTTGGCAAAAAGTACTCGGAGGATTACTCCCTGAGGATGATTTTTGTCATGATTAAGCCATGGCAGAAAATGATCCGAAGAGAAACATGCTACAGGACAAAAACAGGAAGAAGAGGCAAAACCAATTTTTGACACTAGGGACCACGCATAGCCTAGTTACAAATCCTCAGAGCGAGTGGTCCCCAAGCCCTCACAATTCACTTTCTATGCTAAATTTATCATCACATTCACCAGCTAGGAAGGAAACCAGCCTACAATGGAATAAACAGCCTGCAAAGGGGAGACACAGACATAGCTGGCTGGCTGCATACCTCCAGCAAGCGGATGTGAGCCAGTACCTGTGGCAGTTCTTGCAGCATGTTCTCACTGAGAGTCAGAGCACACAAACTCCACAAGCCACTCACAGCAGGAGACAGCTCCTTAGCTTGTTGCCTAGAGAGAGAGAAGCCATTTAGTCCCAGGTACCCTATTCAAAGCAGGACCCCAGGAAGTACATCTGCCAGAAAACTGAAATCTGCTCATAGGAGCAAAATTACCTGCCATTTTCGATAACCTGCTACAGGGATGAGGTTGTCATGGGGCACATGAGGACTCCAAAGACTGTCATGTGCCATTGCCAACCAAGGCAAATGGGGACCAAGATGTACTTGTACATGCCCAGCCCACCTGTACCACCTCAGCAGTGGTCCCACAGGCAGGATCGACCTTCTCAGTCGAGGTCACTGTTGGAGATTTGATCTGCGCTCTTTATTTGGAGAATGTTCATAATATGAAGTCATCTTCCCTTCAGTGTAAATATCAGAGACAGGAGAAGGGGAACTGACTGTGGCGCTGTAAATCTAGGGGGCAGAAGTCAGATGTTGCAGGTAGATACAGCAATCAAGTGGGCTGCACTTCCAAGTTCCTTGCCTTCCATTTTCTTCTGCTCAGCAACGCAAATTGATCACA